TGGGGGCCATTCCTGGCTGAAGCAATTGAGCGATCTGGCCTGGGACTCCTGACAAGCCAGGAAGGCCTGTCCATTACCAGCCCCACAGCCCACTGTTTCCATCATCGCGCCTCCCTTTCCCTCATGGCACCCCGTCCCCATGCAGTTGCGCCCCTCCACACACACTCCTAGTGACAGTAGGAGCTGCAAGGGAAGCGGAGAAAATATATTTGCCCGGTGTGCTCTACTTCCCCCAGCTCCTGCTGCCACAGGGAGCAGGGGTGGGGTCAACCAATGCCACCGTGCAGCACCAGGCACCCTGGTAATCCCCAAAGCCATGTCCTGCAGTGGCAGGAAAGGTCTGAGCTTGGGGGCCAGCAACAGACAACCCCCTCCTCATGGCCCGCTGGGAGTTCCCGGGCTGGATTATGCAATCACTCCAGTTGGGCATGGCCCACGAACGGGACAAAAGAAATATAAAGCACTACTTCTAAAAGGGAGGGGGTACTTCATGCTCTCTTAAAATTTCCCATGATATGATTTTTGCCTTACCTCAATATTGATTTGATGACACATGATGATAAATTACAGTGTGAGCACGTCTAGCTTTGTGTTTCATAAAATGTATTTCATTATTCTGAAGTAAGTTCATCACAGGATATTTCACAAAAATCTGAATGCGAAGGAATTAAAACGTTTGGATACTGTTCTCTTGGTTGTTGTGTTAGGATTTCAGTTGCCATAACAACTAGAGGTGGTACTTTTAGATATAGTTTGCCCTAAGGTTTGCATCACCATATTTGAACTTCAGTTGCCATAATAGCTGAATACAACTTTGGTTATCAGTTGCTTTTCTTTCCATTGTTTTTAGTTTATTCCGTATCTTTCTGGTCAGCCTTAAAAGCTGTTTGCTCTTGTTTCTGCTATTAAATGAACTGTCATTTATTGCTACTCACATTTTATTTCTGATTATTGAGACCTTTGTGTTATTTCTTTTGAGTCGTATGTAACTTAAAAACTAGGGATATAAATGGTTAACCAGTAAACATCACCATCCCGTGGGGCCCACTGGAGTAGCCCCTGACCAGGGTGATTTCTCCTCCCTCCCCCCGCCCCACTGCAGATTACACATTGGTGGCCCTGTTCCTGGGGAGCCAGCTATAGAGACCACAGCAAAGCCTTCTCAGGAGTGGGACCAGTAGCTTATTTAAGCTTTATACTGCAGAGTCCGGTAACCTCTACGATTTGTAGCAGTTGCACTGTTACATGTTTAAACACATTTTTACATCCCTATTAAAAGTCTAAATACCAAACTCTTGGTGCCTCTAACAGACTTTAAAGCACAATCTATACAAAAACAATCAACAAACTGTGCAGGCAATCCAACATTGCAAAACAAGGCTAACAAAAAGGATATTTTAAAACATACTATATTTCACACCCAGATAGTCCCAGCTTAGACTTATCCTAATGAGCTTTAAAGATGAAATATGCAACATTCTCTAACATTGGCAAATTCAGGATATTTCATACCAAGAGAAGTGAATTCCAAAACTGAGAGCCACTAAAATTAAAAGGCAGAGATTATACTATGTGCAGAGGCAAATCATTAGAAATTTGAGGACTACTTAGGTCCTCTCCTGAAAACAGATCCACGTCAAAATTTGAATCAACATGGGAAATGAACTACATTATTGCTCTTAGTATTATTTTGGGTTTGGGCTGAAGCATATTTGTGGATGATGTAGGGTTTTACCTAAAGCAGACAATACATTAGTACAAAATTCTGCTAGCATTTTGAAGCTTATTGCTGTTGATGGTTATCAAATGTGGCACCATCAGTGAAGTACAAGTTGGATCTCCTTTATCCAGCACCCTCGGGACTTAACCAGTCCTGGATGAGGAAATTTTCCTTGACACCATCCCCTCAGTCCATTGCCCCTCCCCGCTGCTGGCTCTTTCGGCCTGACTAGGCTATCTGCTGGCCGGGTCACATGTGGCTCCAGCCCCACTGCTCAACAGCACACTGCTCGGTCGGTCTGCCGCAGCCCTAGCCTCGCTGCCAGGTGGCGTGTGGCCCCAGATGCATTGATTCTGCCAGCTTCCACTCCTGGGCTGCTGCGCCCACGGCCACAGCCCCAGCCCCACTGTCGGGCAGCAGGCAGCCCCAGTCACGCTGCCATCTCTGCCCACGATGCTGTGGCCCAGCCACTGCCTAGGATTCTGCAGCTCCACCGCCACCCAGACTGATGCAGCCCAGCCAGCTTCCCCTCTTGGGCTGCTATGGTCCTGGTCCCACTGCCAAGCAGCAGACAGCCCCGATCGCACTCCGCCCAGGCTGCTGTGGCCCCACTGCTAGCAGACTCACAGGGATGCACCAGGCTTCCAGCTGCTGGCCCTTCTGCTCCAGGGCGCGCTCATCCAGGAACATCTGTGGTCGTGCCAGAGCACAAATGTTGCCGGACCAGAGAATCCCGGATTTGGACCCAGATTTCATTCTGTACCAATACCATAACATGCACTTACTGAAATTCCCTGTTTAAATTTAGAAAAGAAATCTTTAATGGGATACTATTTCCAGAACTACTTTGGTGTTGGCAATTTTCCTATGCAGAAAATCTTTTTCTCATACTTCTCACTGTTATCATCTGCAAGCACTGTGAAACTGTTCCTTATTTGCTTTCCATCTATTAGCCTTTTAATTTATATGCAGCAGAATAAACATTTTTCTAGGACAGTGAACCTTGTCATTTTGCCCAGAGCAGTTTAGATGTTTACTGTTTTTCTGTCCAGTATTTTATTGCTAGAATATCAAAATCTACACTGTCACTTAGAACTGGAAGGTCAAAGTATTAATCATCAGTTGAGGCTGCAGGCTGCATGCATTCTGCCAATACTCTGCATGTTACACTTCAGTGAAAGTCTATGGGAGTTCTGCAGGTAAATTGGTAATAAGGTATGTTGCTGTAGTTGTTGCACAGCAAAATTGATTTTATAAAGTATTTGGGGTAAATATGATGCCAGATTTTTATAAAATCCAATTTCTGATGAAAGGTTACCACATTTCCTCCACGATGCTCCATTCTAACTTAATGATAAAAGAGAGAGGACATTGAGAAAAAGCAAAGAATATCTTTGCTGGTTATTTCTGAGCCAAATCCTGTTTTGTTTAGCCAAGTAACATTATTATTAGTGTTGTTGTTATTCATTTATTTATTATTTATTCAGAGTTATGTTTGAAAACAATTTGAAATCCTGAGCCTTCCCATATCAATGGAAACCTTAAGAAACAGCAGAACTGCTCTGAACGTACAGCATTAGGAAGCAGAGTGCCCCATGCATGGCAGCCTTGTATGCCCAGAGCAGATCTCAGTGGAGGTACAGGTTGAACCTCTCTAGTCTGGGAATCTCTGGTCCAGGAACATTTGTGGTTCGGCATGGTTGAGTATTCCGTGCGTGCTCTGGGACTGAAGCAATCACAGGGGAAAAACTGACGCAGCAGGACCATTGATATTGCTGGACCAGAGAGCCAGACTGACAGCTGGGAGCTCCAAGCCAACAGCAGGGATTAGAGCTCAGAGGCTAGGGCTGAGAGCCAGAACATCGTGAGTGGGGCCAAAGCCTGGCAGCTGGCAATCAGGAGCTGACAGCTGGAAATGGAGCCCTGTGGATGGGAACAGAGGCAGGGACTGGGGACCAAGAGCAGAGCTCAGCAACAGAGGCACTGGCATTAACCTCCCCTGGTCTAGCAAACTCCTTGGTTTGGAGCTGATCATCCAGAGTACAGGCTTGACAGGGAGGTTAAACCTGTACTCTAGAGGAATGCAGGGAGAGACTATATATAGGTAGCCCAAGCGATTGTCAAAGGGGCATCTGTGGCCAATGGGATCACAATCTAACCAAATCACCATCTAGCAGATTAAGTGCATGGAGGGTTGGGCATTATGCACCCTCTACCTGTCTTAGCATTTAGCAGCTGCTTATCCAGAAAGCATCCATTACGTGTTTGTCCTCGGGGTGCATTTTCCAACCCTCGATTGTGTTAGACTTTGTAGCCTGGTTATCTGCTTTGGTCATCCTTCTGTGGGAGGTGAAAGTGCTCGTGATTAAGTCCTTCATGAATATCTCTATCAACTTTTGTAATTTGTTTTCTTGTACTTTTGGTCTGATTTAGACATAAGAACTTCATTTTACCTTATGTTTTCTAGAGATCCTGCTTTGTCACATCTTTAGAACTTCCTTTATTTTTTTTATCAATCAAAACATTCTGTTGAGTATTTTTTCAACAAATAAATATAAAGCTGAAAGATCGAGTTTCATGGGCATTTTTGACATTTAATTGTGCATGCCATCAGCCATATATACTGCTTTGTCATGTGAAAATTACCCTCTGAGAAGTAAAATCAGTAGCTGAATTATGTGAAGACTAGGAACGGCATGAGAAATTTGTATTCTTGCTTGGTTTGGTTTTTAATTATTATTTTGCCACTTATTAGTAATAACTTTTTTTCTTTTTCTTGTGCCTTTTAGACATTTTGTATTAAATATCAATACAAGCTTAAATTCAAATTGTTTTTTTCATATTTCAGGTGAATGTGATAATCATCTTTACATTATTCTTCCCTTTTCTCTCTCTCTCGTACATTTATGCATGTGACTTGGTCTTATGGGTTGTGCCATGTCTGGACAGTTGACTCAGGAGATAATGTTGCTTTACTATAACCTGACAAAAGCAGTAGTTTCTGGTGGAATTAATTTTTTTTTTCCCATTACACACTTCTTCCTTTTTTTTAAAAAAAAAAAAAAAAGATTCCTCTCTCCTTTCACTTCCTTCCTCCTTAACATCTACTTTTAAATTGTGCATATCCTCCATAATTTTAAAAATTCAAGGATTTTAAGCTGGCAAAAGTTTATGGGAATCTCACATTTTCTCACACCAATATATGCTTTTAGACATTTCCCCACTGTGAGAATTCTCACTTCTGCTATTGTTCCCTCAGACACTGCAGATGTGGCACTAACCAGAAGAGAAGAGTGAAACTGATAGTATTCTAGTCAGTTCACCTCTTCTGCTCTTGTGGGACAATCACTTTGTGGTAAGATTTTTTTTAAAATAACCTGTGAGAAATCTGAGCCCAAAATCTTGCCCTCAAAATCTTCTAAAGCATGAAAAACCTTGGGGTATTTTTATTTTGATTTGTTTTGAAATATTCCTACAATTTTAAAATGGCTGCATTGAATTTTATTTCATACGCTATAAGGACTTCAATTTCACGCAGTAATGTCCTGCACCAAGCTTAATACAGTAACTTGTGTTTTTAAGAATGGACATTATAGAGGTGGGATCAAATCGTGTCTCTTCAGAAACTTAACAGTCTGAAAACAGGGTCTCATACTAAAACTGTAATGCCAACCATAATTGTTGTTGCAATACTCTAATAGTGTTAGTTATCTTAATTCTTCTGATTTCTCTTCTGTTTGTGGTTGATGCCCTTTAGCAAACTTGTTTTGTAGATAACAGAAAGTGAGAGAAATCCCCTTTTACTCCACCTGTAAAGTGCAATGGAAAAAACTAACTTCCTGAGCTTGAAAAGTGAAATATTTCCTATATGTCCAATTCTGCCATCCTTGCTTATGAGTAGAGTCCTGCAAATATGTGGATGTCCGCTTGATATCCATGAGCGTCTGTAGACGTGGACACAGATATCTGTAGCTCATTTTTGCAGATATGGCTGCAGATATAAATTTTGTATCTAGACTCCTGCAAATTTGCAAATATCCACATAAATGAATGTGTATGCAGATAGTCACAGCTCATTTCTGTGGATATGGATGCAGATATGGATACAAATTTTATATCCGTGCAGGTCTCTACTTACAACTAGTATGTTATTCTGCAAGTAGTACCAGTGAAACTCCCTGTAACTTAACACTGTAATGCTGCATCCATAATAACTTCAATAGGATCTGAGGTCACACAGCACCTTGCAGAAATGGACCTTGGAAAAGAGAGATTTGCCAATAATGATGTTAGCTTTAGATTTATAAAGTAGTTAGCTTTGAATTTTTATTTCTACATAATTTAAAACAAAGTTTCCTCAATCTTGTTTTAATGTTGCTTGAATTATTCTATTTTATTGTGGATTTTTATACATTTTTATTTGGGAGTTTATCATGTTTTTAATGTGCTGTAATGGGAACTAATGTATATTTCTGATTTTATTTTTAAGTGACTAAAATGAATATTATCATTGGGTCACTATTCAGGGTTAGAGGATAGAGACCATTTTACTTAGAAACAGTGTATTACCAACTTCTTAACAGTATGTAAACCACAAAATTGTCATGTGCTTTCTTGAAAATAGGTAACAGGCAGTCTTGCAGGTCTCTGAATGTCGTGGCAAACTTGCCACAAGTAAAATATTAAGACTTCAAAATATTGTATAGACTGTCCATACATGTTAGTATGTGCTCAGTATAGCTTGAAATGCAAGCACATGTGTGACACCAAGGTTGTGTTATGATTTAATCATTGTAGGGGAGCTTCACATAATAGCCTTTATGTAAAGCAATTTAAGAATAGCTAGCGGTAAGGGGGAGATTTTCAAAAGCACCTTCATGATTTAGCAGCACAAGACCTATTCAAAATCACTGGGATTTGCACTAAATCCCTTCCACTTTAAAGTGGGTTACATCAAAGGGCACTATGCAACGTTTAGTATTCGGTAGCAGAGTCTACATGAACACTTAGTGTATAGCAAGCTCACGTGGGATACTCCGCTTGCCACAAAATAATTGTTCATTTAGACACGCCAGCAGCCTCTAAGGGCCTAAGTCAGTTTTGAAAATGGGACTTAAGCTCCAAAATCACATAGGTGCTTTATTACAGTTGATCACTGACACCTTGTTAGATTAGTAGCTGTAGAGAGCACAAAGCAATTATACTTATTCTTCCAAAGTGTGTGATGGACCTTACCTGTATTAGTGGGTGTGCCAATATAAGAAAATTCCCTAAAATATTTTGACACCATTTTATAGGGTTTTATTCCCTAGAGATAAGCAACTACAAAAATAAATCATAGACTGAGCTGATAGTGATGTCTGTAGTTAAGATCTTATTTTAAAACTTGACACAGAAATATACAGATTTTGGGAAAGACAGTGTTATTTATCTACACTGATAAGATGTAATTGTGAAGCTTAGGTCTGAGCAATAAACACGTTTTAGGTGATTAAATACTGAAGCAAAGGTGAGATGTTAGATCACCACAGCAGCCTTTATGAGGATACTCTACCACTGTGATTATTAAAACAAACCACAGTGTAGAAATTGGTTTTCTTAGGAGCTTTGACCATTCCTTGTGGATGCTTTCACTGACTTTTCAATTGATATTACTTTGGGGGTTGGATTCAGGTCAGTAAGGCCCTGATCCTGATAACTCACCCATGTTCTTCTTCGAGTGGTTGCTCATGTCCATTCGAAGTAGGTGTGCGCACTGTGTGCACTGTGTCTTCCGGAGCGTTTTCCCTAGCGGTACCCGTAGCGCCGGCAGGGCGCCCCCTGGAGTGGCGCCGCCATGGCGGGGCATAAGTACCCCTGCCGGCGCTGCCCCACCTCAGTTCCTTCTTACCGCCGTGATGGTCGTTGGAGCGTCTCTCTCTCTCTCTTAGTCTCTAGTCAGTTAATGGTTCCCGTTCTATCACTTATCTGTAAATAGTTCTATTAGTTAGACAGTTAAGTTCTTTGTTTTCTCCTTTCCCCCCTCTGTGGGTGAGGAATGCCAGAGCCACAAGGCTTCAAGGCGTGTGCTGACTGCGGGAAGTTTATGCCTAGAGGCGACCCACACGACAGTTGCCTTAAGTGCCTGAGTGAAGCTCATCTTGCAATAGCTTGCAAGATCTGTAAGTCTTTTAAGCCCCGCACGAGGAAAGAAAGAGTTTCCCACCTAAAGCTTCTCCTCATGGAGACAGCACTACAACCGGTGCCACCGGAACAGCCTACGGAGCGCAGTGCACCGGCTTCAACGCATGAGGCCCCTCACCGGCACCGTGCGTCGGCATCGAAGTCTCGGCACCGGTCTCATTCTCCCCCATCCAAGAGGGTGAAAAAGTCCCGCGGACGGTCCCCGGCAAAGAAGTCGGCCTCGGTCAGGCACGGCGGTGCCGGCTCACCGGTGCACACATCACCTGTGGCGCACCGCAGTCGGCGGAGAGACCCCGATAGTCCCGGTCGCCTCCCTTCGCACCAACCATCCACGCCGGACACTTTTGAAGCGGCGCAGGACCTCATTAGCCTCACGACCTCTCCTCTGTCATCGGTTGAGACGTAAGGGTCGAGATCCCCCTCGCCAGAGGCTCAACTGCTTATGACTTCGCCCAAGCATGGCCCAGGTCGGCATGCTAAGGCAACCCATGCGTCAGGACCACCCCATGTGGGGTCAGTACCGATCGCTACCACGGCACTGTTCTCGACGCCGGTTCGCCAGTCCCGGTCAGTTTCGGGCTGCGCTCGATCTTCGTGGCAGCTCAGCTCCTCGCCAGCCCCCCGCTTGGCGGTACCGGTGCCGTACCCCCGCAGCCATGTGGCGTTTACTCAGGCATCTCTCCCCTCCACGGCACCGGGCCTCATGGAGTTGACGTCTGTCTCCGCGCCCTCAAGCACCGGATTCAGCCCGATGGCAGTCGGCGGCTCCTACGGCACCGCCCCCGGTACTGGGCCTGGGTACCCCGGGTACTGGGCCGGTACCATACGTGATGGCGGCGTTTTTTCCCGGCACCGGGCCTAGGCACCCCGGTGCCGCAACTAGCACTATCCACACTACCGGCGCCGGGCCTGAGCACCCCGATGCTGCAACTGCAGGCAACTCCCCTACCGGCACCGGGCCTGAGCACCCCGGTGCTGCAACTGCCGGCATCGACTCTCCTGGCACCAGGACTGGGCCACCCCGATGCCGCAGCTGCCGGCATCGACTCTCCCGGCACCGGGCCTGGGCACCCCCGTGCCGCAGCCGGCAGGGTCCTTAGTTGCTTCCTCGTCCCACAGGTCTCGGTCCCGGCACCAGCGGGACCGTCCTCAGCAAGCTTGGCCTCCGCATCCGCAGTGGCCATTCTGGATTCCCTGGGCCTACCATCGATGGCAGGGCTCGGCGCCCCCTCCTTCGGTTTCAGGGCCGTCAGGTCACCGCTCCCATCCTTCGGCGTTCTGTCTTGGGCCCCCTCTCCACTTGGGGCTCCACAACCAGATTCAATGGCGCAGGCACCGGAAGCGGAGATGAACCCGCAGGGTACACAGGGTGTACAACCGCCACTGCACTTAGCGCCATCTGGCTCTATCCCAACCCAGAAGTCCTCGTCATTGTCCCCGGACGAGGCTCTAGCAGACCCGGCACCTAGTCTGCCTACCATGGATGCCCGTACGCACCAGGAACTTTTCCGGTGCATGGCATTGAATCTAGCCATCCCAGTGGAACCTGTCATTGAGGACACGGATCCAATGGTGGACATCATCACTGAGGACGCGCCCACGTGGTTGGCTTTACCGCTCAATAAGACGGTGACCAAGATCTCAAAGGCCCTGTGGTGGACGCCAGCGACCTTGACCCCTACCTTAAAAGGGGTCGAGAGGCACTATTATGTCCCGCACTCAGGACATGAGCATTTGTATTGGCAACCCATCCCAGGATCCTTGGTTGTGCAGGCTGCGGCCCAAAAGGACCGGCTCCCTCAGCCTCACCCATCTCCAAAGGCAAGAGAGCTTAAACGGCTGGATCTGATGGGCCGTAAGGTTTACGCCACAGGGGCACTACAGCTCCGCATCGCGAACCAGCAGGCGATGTTAAGCCAGTATGCCTTCAATACCTGGCAGGCAGCCGAAAAATTCAGGGATCGGCTCCCAGCGGAGAACTGCCAGGAGTTCGCAGCCATTGCTTCCGAGGGCAAAGTCATCACACGAACTGCCCTCCAGGCGTCCTTGGATACCGCTGTCTCAGCAGCCCGCACCATGGCGACCGGTGTTGTGATGCGTCGCGGAGCCTGGCTGCACGTGTCGGGGATTCCCCCTGACGTACAAAATACAATCCAGGACTTGCCATTCGAG